AAGCTACCTTACAATTTTTTTTTTTTTTTTTTTTTTTTTTTTTTTTTTTTACGGAGTCTTGCTCTGTCCGCCAGGCTGGAATGCAGTGGTTCAATCTCGGCTCACTGCAACCTTGGTCTCCCAGGTTCAAGTGATTCTCCGGCCTCAGCCTCCTGAGTAGCTGGGGCTACAGGCGTATGCCACCACAGCTGGCTAATATTTTTTGTATTTTTGGTAAAGACTGGATATCATCATGTTGGCCAGGATGGCCTCGATCTCCTGACCTCGTGATCCACTTGCCTCGGCCTCCCAAAGTGCTGGGATTACAGGCATGAGCCACCGCGCTCAGACTCTACAGATACTTTTAAAGTCAAAATGCAAATATAGAATCTTGGTATTAAGCAGCATTGTCATCTAAGCACCATTTCTTGTTATGATTACATTAACAACTATCTAAAGCTATTTTTTCTAACCACTCCCACCTGCTTCAACCTCATGATTGCTTATGTGTCACAACACAAGAATATACAAGTAAGAAAAATTAACTTTTCTTCAAATCCCTGATTTTGTTGTTCAAATGACCTGTGTACTTTTATGACAGAGCAGGGGAATTTAAGATGACCTAAAACACCATGGTACATTTGACCCTTGAACAACACAGGTCTGGACTACATGCATCCACTTATGAGTGGATATTTTTTTTTCAGTAAATATATTGGAAACTTGTTTTGGAGATTTGTAACAACTTGAAAAAAATTACAGATGAATTGTGTAGCCTAGAAATACTGAAAAAAATAGTTATGTCATGAATGCATAAAACATGTGTAGATACTAGTCTGTAATATTATTTACCATCATTAAATATACATAAATCTATTATAGTTAAAATTTATAAAAACTTATGCACACAAACACTTACAGACCATACATGGTGCTATTTCAGTCCAAAGAAATATAAAGATGCACTGTTAAATCATAACTGCATAAAATTAGCTTTAATACATGCTATACTATTGTACTAACTTTGTAGCCACCTTCTGTTGCTATTGTGGTGAGTTCAAGTGTTGAATCTGGTTAAAACATTTTGTGAAGGTAATTCTCTTCATGTTTATAGTTCCTCTCTTAAGTAAAATGCGCATCACAGTAAAAGTGATCCCTCAGGGTTCTCACATATTTTTTATAGTGTTTAGTGCAATATGGTAAACTGCCAACAACAGGTTGAGACCCATATGAAATGCCAGTCATGATGCTGGATGTATCCCCAAGAAACAGAGATAAATCATGACATTACAAGAAAAAACTGAATTCCTTGACATGTACCATAAAGTGAGGTCTGAAGCTGAGGTTTTTCACTGTTTCAGGTTAAAACATACCAAGCCTAAATCAAAAAAGACCCTGCATTGCCAAGACAATCCTAAGCCAAAGGAACAAAGCTGGAGGCATCATGCTACCTGACTTCAAACTATACACAAGGCTACAGTAACCAACACAGTATGGTACTGGTACCAAAACAGAGATATAGACCAATGGAACAGAACAGAGCCCTCAGAAATAATATCACACATCTACAGCCATCTGATCTTTGACAAACCTGAGAAAAACAAGAAATGGGGAAAGGATTCCCTATTTAATAAATAGTGCTTGGAAAATTGGCTAGCCATAAGTAGAAAGCTGAAACTGGATCCTTTCCTTACTCCTTATATGAAAATTAATTCAAGATGGATTAGAGACTTAAATGTTAGACCTAAAACCATAAAATCTCTAGAATAAAACCTAGGTAATATCATTCAGGACATAGGCATGGGCAAGGATTTCATGTCTAAAACACCAAAAGCAACGGCAACAAAAGCCAAAATTGACAAATGGGATCTAATTAAACTAAAGAGCTTCTGCACAGCAAAAGAAACTACCATTAGAGTGAACAGGCAACCTACAGAATGGGAGAAAATTTTTGCAATCTACTCATCTTTATAGGTTCTGCATAGGACTAATATGCAGAACCTATAAAGAACTCAATCAAATTTACAAGAAGAAAACAAACAACCCCATCAAAAAGTGAGCAAAGGATATGAACAGACACTTCTCAAAAGAAGACATTCATACAGCCAACAGACACATGAAAAAATGCTCATCATCACTTGCTATCAGAGAAATGCAAATCAAAACTACAATGAGATAACATCTCACACCAGTTAGGATAGCAATCATTAAAAAATTAGGAAACAACAGGTGCTGGAGAGGATGTGGAGAAATAGGAACACTTCTACACTGTTGGTGGGACTGTAAATTAGTTCAATCATTGTGGAAAACAGTGTGGCGTTTCCTCGAGGATCTAGAACTAGAAATACCATTTGACCCAGCCATCCCATTACTGGGGATATACCCAAAGGATTATAAATCATGCTACTATAAAGACACATGAACACGTATGTTTATTGCAGCACTATTAACAATAGCAAAGACTTGGAATCAACCCAAATGTCCATCAGTGACAGACTGGATTAAGAAAATGTGGCACATACATACCATGGAATACTATGCAGCCATAAAAAAGGATGAGTTCGTATCCTTTGTAGGGACATGGATGCAGCTGGAGACCATCATTCTCAGCAAACTATTGCAAGAACAGAAAACCAAATACTGCATGTTCTTACTCATAGGTGGGAATTGAACAATGAGATCACTTGGACACAGGAAGGGGTGCATCACACACCGAGTTCTATTGTGGGGAGGGGGTAGGGAGAACCGATAGCATTAGGAGATATACCTAATGTAAAGACGAGTTAATGGGTGCAGCACACCAACATGGAACATGTATACATATGTAACAAACCTGCACTTTTTGCACATGTACCCTAGAACTTAAAGTATAATAAAAAAAGAAAAAAAAAAAAGAAAATTTGTGAAACCATCATCGTAGCTTCTGCCAGCAGGCATGATAACCTTGCACTTTTTGCCAAATGCCTTTCATCTCATAGTGGAAAATACAGCTTTCACATGAGGGCAAAATTGCTATAAGAAAGGCATACCTAACAATGCTAATATATTTGAAAAAAAGCAAAGTCATTATATGACAACTGAAAGCAAAACAACCATGAAATATCTAATGCTAGAGAATTTAATGGCAGTAAAGGATGATTTGATAATTTTAGAAAGAGGTTAGGTTAAAAAAATTTAAGAATACAGAAGAGGCTTCTGCAGGCCAAAAGTATGAAAACAATTTCTCACATACCATAAAGAAAATCATCAAGGAGAAAGGATATCTGTGTAAAAAGTTTTTTAACCAAGACAAATGTGCACTATTCTGGAAAAATATGTTATCAATGATATTTATTAGTAAGAAATTGAAGCAAGCACCAGAATTTTAGGCAGGAAGAGATAGGCTAACTCTACTGTTTTTTGCAAATGAAATTGGGTTTATAATCAGGATTGGTCTTATCTATAAAGCTGTAAAACTTGGAGCTTTGAAGGGAAAAGACAAACACCAGCTGCTAGTTTTTCAGTTGTGCAAAAGGATATCGGGACAATGAAAATTATTTTTCTGGGTTGATTCAAATGATGCTTTGTCCCTGAAGTCAAGAAGAAGCTTACTAGTAAGGAACTGGCTTTTAAAGTCCTTTTGATATTGGACAATGACCCTGTAACCCAGAATCTCATGAGTTCAAAATGGTCTACTTGCTCCAAAACACTATGTCTCTAATTTGTTCAGGGTCTTGAGACCTGATCATAAAGACCTTTAAGGCTTATTGCACACAACCTTAATTGAAAGAATTGTCAATATTATGGAAGAGAACCCCAAAAGAGAGAGTACCATGAAAGTCTGGCGGAATTACACCATGGATGTCATTGATGTTACAAAAAATGCTGTGAAAGGCATTAAACTCCAAATAATAAATTCCTGCTGGAGAAAATTGTGTCCAGAAGTTGTACATGACTTCATAAGATTTATGACAAATCCAATAAGGAAAATCATGAAAGAGATTGTGGATATGGCAAAAAGGGGGGCAAGTGAAGCATTTTGAGATATGGATCTTGAAAAAATTCAAGACCTAACAGACACCACAGCAGAGCAATTAACAAAAGTTGATTTGATGGAGATGAGTCCTTCCAAACCAGTGTCAGATGATGAAGAAAGAGCTGTAGAAGAAGTAGTGCTGGAAAACAGATTGATATTAGATAATTTGCCAGAAGGATTCTGATAATTCAAAATTACTCTTGATTTTTTTTATTATAATGTGGACCCTTTTATGATGTGGGCACTGAAACTAAAGCAAATGATGGAATTAAGGATTGGTATTTTAAATAAATTTAAAAGAAGATAATTAGACATATTTTAAAGGAAAATTACACCAAGTTTCTCTGCCTCTCCTTTCACTCCCTCCATCTTTTCTGCCTCTGTCACCCCTGAGGCAGCAAGAACAATACCTCCACTTCCTCCTCCTCTTCTGTTTACTCATGCTAAGATGATGAGGATGTATATATATATATATATATATTCCCTCACTTATGATTTTCTTAATAATATTTTCTTTTCTCTAGCTTACTTTATTGTACGAATACAGGGTATAATACATATTAAGTAGTCTTTAATCAGCCATACATGGTATCAGTAAGGTTTCTGGTTAATAGTAGGCTATTAGTAGCTACGGTTTTTGAAAGTTAAAAGTTAGAAGTGGATTTTTTTTACTGCAAATGGGGTTGGCACTCTTAACTCTTGCATTGCTCAGGAATCAACTGTGCATACAAAGTAAATATTTTGATTTATATACAAAGATGTCAATTAAATAGGCAAAATACTTATATATTTTGTCACCCAAGATACAGTTTAAAACTAACCAATGAACTCCAATATTAAACAACAAAAAATTCCAGAATGAAAAGTTAATGCCCCGAGTCCCTCCACCCTTACCCCATGGTATAGTAATTAACATTAAAATTTTTTAGCATAACATAAAAAATTATTTGAATGATCCTGAACAAAATGTATTTTCTCTGATGTTTTCCTTTGTTATTTCCTCTAGGTATGCCTCATCTACCTTATCAAGTCGAAGAACTGTGGGAAAATTTTGGTTGTGGATTGTACTGTGTATTGACTATCCAAATAAATAAGACGTTTCCTTGGGTTGTCATCCTATATCCAATTTTCTCTTTCTGTGTTTGTGTTTATCAGGGTTCTCCAGAGAGACAGAACCAACATAAAGGATAAATTAAATAGACAGATAGCTAGCTAGATAGCTAGCTAGCTAGCTAGATAGATGACATGAGACTTATTAGGTGAATTGGCTCACATAGTTATGGAGGTTGAGAAGTCCCATGATAGGCTGTCAGCAAGCAGAAGAACCTGGAACCCAGCAGCATGGCTGATCAAGTCTGAAGGTTTCAGGATCAGCTAAACCGAATTTGCCTTTCTCCTGAGTTTTTATTCTCTCCATGCCCTCCCATATTAAAGAGTAGAACTTGCGCATTCAGTCCACCAACTCACACACCAATCTTCTGCTGAAGCACCCTCACGAACACATCCATAAATAAAGCTTTACCAACTCTCTAGGTATCACTTAATTTAGTCAAATTCAGATAAGAATAAACTTCATGAGGAGTAGTTCTAAAAAAATGATTGTTACTTAAAGTATAAAAGAAATAAAGGAAAATATGAGAAATGCGTATTTGACAGATTTTGGGTGTGTATGCGATTTTTAACAAAGTTTTATAATAACATAACATGATTTTTTCAATTCTTGTTTAACAATATGATTATAAAGAAAATTGTTCTTAAAAATGAGTGTTAATAGTTCTGGTAAACAAAGCAACAACAAGAACAAACTATAAGATCAAGGAAAGGATGAAAATCATTATTATAGTATATTTAGAAAAATGTAAAAATAAATTCATTCTATAAAATCATAGAAAATACAGAACATCAATAGCTTTATTATTAAGAAAAAAACAAAAAATAGTAACTCATCCTTCAAATTCAAAAAAGTCAGAAAAAGATGTTCTACACTGCTACCCTTTAGGAAAATGCAAATTAAAACCACAGTAAGATACTGCTGTACACCTACAAGAATGGCTAAAATGAAAAACACTGATGACACCAAATGCTGGGCAAGGAAGCAGAAAAACTGGATTTCTCATACATTGCTGATGTGAGTGTAAAATGGTACAACCACTGTGAAAAACAGTTCAGCAGTTTCTTTAGAACTAAACGTAAAATTGTATAGAACCCAGCAATTGCACTCCCGGACATTTACCTAGAGGTATGCAAACTTATTTTCACATGAAAACCTGTGCACGAATGTTTATATAGCTGTGTTTTAATCATGATAGCCAAAAACTGTCAACAACCTAGATGTCCTTCACCAAGTGAGTGTCTAAACAAATCATGGTACACCCATATCAAGAAATACTACTTGGTGATTAAAAAAAGAATAAACTTATAAACACAGCAGCCTGAATGAATCTCCAGGATAGTATCTTGAGAGAAAAAAAAAAAAAAGCCAATCTCCAAAAGTTATATACTGTATGGTTCCATTTATGTAATATTCTTGAATTGACAAAATAACAGAAATGGAAGATTAGTGGTTGTCAGGGGTTTAGGGTTACGAAGTTGTGGGGGAATAGAGGCAGCTATATAAGAACACAGTGAAGCTTCCTTGTGGGGAGGAAATGTACCTCGACTGTATCAATGTCAATATCCTGGTTGTGATATTGTCCTACAAATTTGAAAGATGTTACCACTAGAAGAAAACTGGGTAAAGGGCATGCAATATCTCTCTGTATTATTTATTACAACTGCATGTGAACCAACAGTTATCTAAATATTTAAAAATTCAATTAAAATGAAGAAAAATCAAAACCCGACTGATCTAAGGAAAGCAACATTCATCAAATATGAGGGTAGTGATAGATTTGAAAACATAAAAATAAAACAAAGAATCCAGGTTCTGTTTTATACACACACACACAGAGAGAGAGAGAGAGAGAGAGAGAGAGAGAGAGAGAGAGAGAGAGAGAGAGAGATAACAAAGCCCTATGCATCAAATTGAAAAGAAAAAATATAGAATAAAAATAAAGTAAAAAATAGTGGCTGTAATTGCTCAGTCTGAGTTGGTGCGACAAGTCAGTTGTTAACTCTGGGCTCCCACCCTCTCCCATCAGGAGAGGCTGCTTTCAAAATTAACCTACTTTTGCATCAGTGGCTGCTATATCACAGATCCTAGAAGATTGCCTGATTTATGATACATTTATATGTTAATGGGCCTACAAACTAATCTATTGAATGTTTATTATTTGGTTGGAAGGTACTAAGATACACACTTTACTTACACACTTTCATATAATTTTCTCAACAACTACATTCATCTGTTGATGTTATTAACATCAACCTCATTTTCCTATTAAAAGAAACTGAGAGTGGAAAAGATTAACGAATGTCATGAATGCCCAAGGTCAAAAGACTAGTATATGATTTGTAGCTAAGATAATCTGACTGCTAAATCTACCTCCTCTAGAATATCTTATTTATATGGAATACCTTCACACAACTTTCAACTAAGATGGGCATGTAAGAGACAGAAAGAGGGAGAACATCTGCTTTTATATATTTGTAGAGATTTAGGAAAGCTTTTGGTATAAATTTAATAATATGTCAATTTTACTATAATTAATTCTCTTTTTAATATTATATTCATGTCAATCATATCCTCCTGTATGCAAAAATCACTATTATTAATTTGTGGAGATATTTCAAGAGCATTGAAGGTAGAGAGCAGTATGAGGTATTGTTGTTATTCTAATATTTATTATTTAGAATGTTCTCATATTTTGAAGATAAGTTCCAGTCATTAATTATTCCCTGTCATGTTGCCTTGGTTACAATTACTCATAGTAACTGAAGCTGTTGGATGTTGCAAGCTGCAAATGAAGAGTATTGGGTCAGATTACCACTGAGTTACATAAAATGAAAATCTAGTCATCTTCCTGTTTAAAGCTTTCTAAATTCTCCTAAAATATCTTATTAGAAACATATTGCATAAGTAAAATATATATGAGTAATTTCCTTATTAAAAATTTCAGTTCAAAATGGTGCCATGTATTCTATGCTAGAGTATCTTGCCTTTTATAAATTCAGCATCTTATTTAAATACTTTACACGGTACATGTGTTTAAAATGAGTTTCAATTAGTGTATAATTGCTTAGTAAGTAAGTATTCAGAAAACAGAGTATAAGAAGCAAATATACCACATCATTCCACCATACATAACCTGGATATGCAATGCTAGCAAATTATACCTAGCTTGGAGAATAAGTTTCGTTTTGTATTTTCTCCCTCAAGGATGTGGGCTACAAACCATTTTAAAATCCCTAATGTCTATTGAAAAATTATGCATGTATGCCCAGAGGAAATGTAATTAAAGAAAAAAAAAACTATGAAAACACTGTTCATTTTTATATATGTTGAGAAACTTTAACTTTTGTTATTTTTTTTCCTCTTAAGTCCTCTTATCCAAAGAAATGCAAAACAGTTGGTTTACACGTGTTAGTTAGATCTGTCTCCAATCACCAGCATTATAAGGAGCATTATAAAACAATGTTCTATCCCCATTGTTTTCATGAAATTATTTTTACTCTATAGCTAGAATACTTTTTTGTGTTTGTGCCACTGCTCACCTCTCATTTAGTAATGATAGTACCACATAATCTACCTCATAAATTTGTTATAAAAATGAAATAATCGTGAAAACTATTTTACACAAAATTTTAATTGTTTCTCGGTAGGAATTCATAGTACACATACACTATAAGAATATAATCTGAAAACATGCTTCAGAAAATTTTAGATATCAGGATAGAAAGATTTAATATCATAAGAGCTCAATCAAGGCTGCTGGATAAAAATTGTGGAAAAGATATTTGAATTGAAAATCCTATTATGTGGATACCCAATTGTACAGCCATATGGAAATGGAGGGGCATCATTTCCACATCTTATTTTAGAGGTGAGCCTCTGGGTACTTGAACAGAGAACTGACTTGTAGCAGAATGCTGACCAGGCTTTGTTTTGTTCTGAGTCTGATCAGTGGTTTGTGAAAAGATTATTGTCCAAAGTCCATCCAACATGTTTCTTGTGAACCCTAACCAAAAACATACATTCACTGATAAAAAAGTCCACTTATTCAAAGTCAAGAGTCATGGTAAAATTATCAAAAAATGCCAGCAAATGGACTATGGAAGATTATGGTACAATATATGCATCCTTAGATTTGAGGGCAAGGAAGGGAGTTGTTGACTGTCTTTACCTCATGCAGAAGCTCTGACAATGGAAACTAGTTTTGAAATTTTGCTAAAGGTAGTAAGATTTCAGCACTTTGCATCTGGGTATACCATTAGAGTTGCTATCTCAATCATGCACACTACATGCTGTAGTATTCTGTCTTAGTCTGTTTTCTGTTACTATAAAAGAATACCACAGACTGGATAACTTATAAGTAAATTTACTTGGCTCATGATTTGGGAGACCGGGAAGTCCAAGAACATGGCACCAGCATCTGGTGAAAGTCTTCTTACTGCATCTTAACATGGCAAAAGGATATCACACGGTAAGAGGAAAAAGTGTGTTTGTCACCTCAGGTCTCTTCTTCTTTTTATAAAGCCCCAAGTCACATTATGAGTGCCCCATCCCAATGACCTTATCTAATTCTAATTACCTCTCAAAGGCTGAAATTCCAATCAACATATTAATGTAGGGATTAAGTTTCCAGCACATAAAATTTGGGAGTCACATTCAAACCATAACATTCCACTCTTGACCCCCCAAATTAATCTCCTTCTCGTGTGCAAAATACATTAATCCATCCCAACAGCCCCAGTCTTAACTCAATCCAGCAGCAGCTCAAAGTCCAAAGTACAGAGTTTCATCTAAATCAGTTATGGGTGTGCTTAAGGCATGATTAATCCTGAGGAAAATTTTCTTCAGCTATCAACCTGTGAAATCAAAACAAGTTACATACTTTACAAAATACAATGATGCGGCAGGCATAGGATAGACATTTCCATTTCAAAAGAGGGAAGGAGGCTAGAAGAAAGGGGTAACTGATCCCAGGTAAGATCAAAACGAAACAGGGAGCACACATTAA